TAAAGGTTCAAAGTATCCAGTGACTAGGGAGACCACGGAAGGTGTCCTGGTGTTCAGGAAACCAATGTTCAGGTCTTACTGTGGTGTTCGGGGGGGGGGGGGGGGGGGCATTATTATCTTAGGACATGGGATCAGTATGAGGGAACAGCCTCGTATTCATTGGCCATTAAAGCACCATGTAGACCAATCATCAGACCTGGAGACTCCCGTAATATGGCTGCCTATGCTAACAGACATTGTGGTCTGACGCCCCCTTCCCTGCCTTCTCCAAATGTAAACCCAATCAGATGTAGGAGCATGGCTGAGAGATGACTCACCAGACCATAATGCTTTTCCCCCTGTTGCTCAGGGATGCAGGTTTTGCATCTTTATGCTTCAGCCTTGAATACGAGCTCTTTCAGAATGGCCGTATATTCCAGCTTAGTGCAGCTCGTGACTTATGGGTTTTGTCGAGACCAGGAGCCAGAGCTGCTGATTCAGTTCTGTAATCATTATACTGTCATGATTGTTTATACTGGTCCTATTGGCATATTAAATGATGCTTCGCTTTTTGCCCCTGCAATTCAAGCACCGACTCTGTGACCTCTTTTGAACTTAATTACTTGACTTATGTCGCTTTACAAACTCCCATATCAAAGTAGTGATGGTCAAACCTCCATTATTGCTGAAACATGCTGCATTCCGTTTTATACGAATCTCCTCTGTACTTCAAAGTTTTCATGTTGTGTTGCTGCTTTTTTGTCTATACTTCATAGACTTTGAGTTCATGAAATGTCGATGGAGTGGCTGGTTTATAAAAATGCCTGTACAAAGGCTATACACCATGACACCTGATCAATATGCTGTTAAGATTGAGTTAATAGATAAATATAAACACTGTGGAGCCTTCTGATTGGCCGAGGCTATGGTGGACGACGTGGCTGTGGTCACATTGATGTTGAGCTGACCCCTCCCTTTATGGGCCATGCAGAGTGACTGGAAGCACTTGGAAAACCGACTCCCTTCTTTTGAAAAAAGGCAAAGCTTGGATCTTCAGGCATGTGGGACCAGAATGTGGCCTGGTGGTTACCTAGCGACACAGGCAACCTATCAGGGAGGGCTTGGGGTCAATATCAGGGGGTCCGCCCTGCAGGGGACCGGGAGAGCACAAGGACCGGGGGGGGGGAAGAGGAGGGGGGATAGCAATGCTTCTGCGGAAAGAGGATGGGCACAGTCTGGTTTGGTGCCAATTATGTTTAGAACTTTGACCTTTAAGGCCTGGCTTAGAATCTCAGCAGGACTTCAAATTTTCCACCTTGGGCTTCAGTGACTAGGGAACTGTGGAACTGAAGAAGATAAATTTTCAGAGCCTCCCTGGTGCTCAGGAGCCAGACGGAAAGGCCGGCAGTGGGGGCGGGTGGCCAGTGGCCTGCTGTCCAGGGATTCCTGCTTCAAAGGATATAGACCACGACACCGGTCAGAGCGCCTACAGACCCCGACAGCGGTCAGAGCGCCTACAGACCACGACACCGGTCAGAGCGCCCCTAGACCCCGACACCGGTCAGAGCGCCCATAGACCACGACACCGGTCAGAGCGCCCCTAGACCCCGACACCGGTCAGAGCGCCTACAGACCCCGACACCGGTCAGAGCGCCCACAGACCCCGACATCGGTCAGAGCGCCCACAGACCCCGACACCGGTCAGAGCGCCCATAGACCACGACACCGGTCAGAGCGCCCATAGACCACGACACCGGTCAGAGTGCCCAAAGACCCCGACAGCGGTCAGTGCGCCTACAGACCACGATACCGGTCAGAGCGCCTACAGACCCCGACACCGGTCAGAGCGCCCATAGACCACGACACCGGTCAGAGCGCCTACAGACCACGACACCGGTCAGAGCGCCTACAGACCCCGACACCGGTCAGAGCGCCCATAGACCCCGACACCGGTCAGAGCGCCTACAGACCCCGACACCGGTCAGAGCGCCCACAGACCCCG